CGCAGTCGACGACATCCGATATTTCGGTATCGGGCCTTAACGAGAGTCGTCGTCAAGTGTTCCCCGTTCGATTAAATGAAGACGATCTCGAACGACACAAGAATGCCCAAGTGATAAAGTACTGGCAAGCGAACGAGAGCGATTTCCGCTTCTTAAGAGAAATCTTTTCTATTCTAATTTTATTCGCGGTAACGTCGATCGAGAGAAGAAAAGCGGAAAGAGTTCGGTGGGATCTATAAGTAGGATCGTGAGAGGCGCACCGAATGTTGAGATAATAAAACAGAACGAAGGGGAGGAACCAGGGGACTTTGTCTGTGTGTCCGAGCTCTTATCTTGACGCGCGTCCATGCTCACACACGCACACGCTCACACACACAACGCATACACATCACACACACAACACAGGCGCGGTGTTACTATTACGTTATTTAAATTAACACACGTTAACGCTAGTATGATAATCTTTTGTTTATTTAGTTTTTAAGCGTAATAGTTATTATACCATTAATTCTTCATCCTTTATGTATGTGTGTATGTATGCATGTATATATATATATATGTGTGTGTGTGTGTGTGTATATATATATATGTATATATATATGCACACACATATATACTGCGTGTGTGTGTGTGAGCGCGCGCGCTCGCGCGTGTGTGTATTCGCAATCTCAATAAAAAAATAATAAAAAGAACAAGAAAGCCATCAAAAAGTGTGCAGCCTCCCATTTCATTACCACTGCCATTGCGATTTACATATATAATGTACATGATGATAATTATATAACGATAAATAAACAATGTATAATATAATATAATATAATCTTGTCATTGTTTCTCATCTTGATCATTGTTGCTTGCGAACGAGGAGGCCGAGGAGAACGAGGAGGAAATCGAACAGACAGCGGTTGTTGCTTTTACAATTGTTGTTTATTTGCAATTTGTTCATATAGTTGGTAACTGATTTCGATTATAACTGACACTAGAAACCTAAACAACGTATGAAACTTTATACATGTCTAATTATCTTACAATTAGTAGTGCTAAGGCGACTATTTACAAGTAAACGCCGTGAGCCGTGTTTTTCGCGACGAGGTGTCGGGAGAGCTATACACATGGATTCTTACCCGTTACCTATATGCACATTGTACACATTTTTTTCAGAAACGTGGCCCAGGCGTTTGAAGGAAGTTTGGATCTGTCTGTGCGTTTGCGTTCAGACTTTGCCACGGAATTGTCTCTACCCACATAGTGCTTCCTCTGCTTTTTCCAAGATATTTCCTTCTTTTCAGTTATTTGAAAAATATCGAATTGTCGAAAATAATATCGTTAATAACAAGGATGGCTGGACTGTACGGCAAAATTCATTTCGGTTTCGTAATGCGGGCAGTATCCTATATATAATCGATATGTATACATCTCTAAAAAAAAAATATATATGTGTATATATATATATAAACATATACGTAGGAATCTTTTACTCTCGAAAAAAATCTAGATTTTATTTCTAGAAGATAGCGACTGCGACTTTCGCGCTAGAAACACTTGATACACGTCAGATGCTTCTCGTGATAAAAATAAAGATTCTTCGAATTTGACAAGATGCTTGCGAGTCGATGGCAGAAGCGACATGTATATGGGAGACAAATCATTCCGAAACATTATCCAATTCCTTTTAGCACTTTTGTGAAGGATAAATAAGTTAGAGAAAAAGAGGATTGTATGCTTGCCGACGCGATGGACCAACGAACGATGGTTGCGCGCATACGCAGCCAATCGGTAACCGTGATAAATCGGTAGGTCTTTCTTCGTGCGCTACTTGAAAAAGTTAAGAAGATAATACAATCGTTGCGGTTTGTGTCGCGGGCGTGGAAGAATGTCGCACAGAGTGCTGCGACATCGCGTTCATCGCGGTTTGAGTATATCGTTTCGTGATATTGAACAATTTCGTAACGTAAACGTATAACGAAAGTTAGTATTCGTATGTATGCGGCACGAGCAGAGCAATTGAACATTGAAACACGGTATTATAGTTTCTGAGTTTCGTAGAAATCGCCGATAAAAATTATCGTGAAAGAAAAAACGAATTGGCAAATACACCAGAAATGAAGACATTGCACTATGCAAAATCCGTCAAGAGCTCCTCATGAAGGATTCGTAAAGATACTTTGTTGCTCGACATGGTGATTCAGCTATCTTCAACGTATGGTACGTATAATCGGAAACGTTAATGTCGTCCAGTGCGTCTGCATTCTCAAAGAGACTTTATGATGTATGATTCAACTATTCCTTCCGTTATTTCGCGTAATGAAGCAGTTAAGTATATTATCACAGCTCCCAGTAAATAAAAAAAAGACGTTTCTTGAATGTCAAGGCGCATTAGACGGCATTAATGCTTCGTACAGTTCGTACATACACCGTCTGTGTGTACAATGTACACAAATAATATAAACGCTTCCTTAATATAAAGCTAAATTAAAGTTCAATTTTGACCAAAAAAAAAATTTTTTTAAGCGTTAAGAGTAAAAAAAATTAACAATAATTAAATTTAAGATGCTTCATCCAGCACTGTGGTCGATAATAAAATAACAAAATATATATTCTTGTGCGATAAATACAAAATTTTTCTCTAGTAAAATCGCGATAGTCACTTCTCGATGAGCTTCCGCGTTGATCGTCACTATTCTCTTTCTCCTTCACCATCAGACCCCATCACACTAAACGCAACGTTTTAACTAAAGAGAAGAAAGAACCTCCATGATAAAAATGACGATCAAATGTACGGCCATTGAAAATCAAATTTATAACGTGCCTATTACAATACGCTAAACTAAAACACCCGAAGGACATAAAATTCGACGTTATCGTTTGCGGAAAGTAAGAAATTGGAATTTTCCTCCCATGTCTGAATTTTGTCACTGATTTTATAATAGATTAGCGGATATCAAATTCTGTGATTTCTCCATTTCGTTCAACTTTAACTCCAGTAATAATATATGTATGTATGTATGTATACAAGATGATTCTCCGTAGGAGAGAGAGAGAGAGAGAGAGAGGGGAAAGGAAGGGAGGAAGAGAGGGAGTGGAAAGGAGGGAGAAAGAGAGATGGGGGAGGAAAAGCATCAGTAGGGAAGTACAGCTATTGCTTATTAAGGTGTCTACTCCTCGAATATAAAGAAATATCATTAACAAAAATGATACAATAACGTATATACAACAACAGCTGAGGCTCGTTATTGTGGTGTTACGCGATAGCGTGTTGTCTTTCGTCGCTTACAAGACGATCTTCGGAGGATTGCTCCGGAATAAATTGCACCGCACGTAGAACCACCGTTTAAAAACAGTCATTCACATTTGAGAGAGAGTGCCGAAATTTATATTGATAACAATACTAAATTTCAAATTTTTCCACAGAAAAAACTGCATTGCAAAGATGCAAGATGCATATGTTTTCTACATATAATAGCTAATCGGAGAGAAGTCGCTGTAGAGCAATATTCTCGAACGCAACGCGGAGAAAAAAAATCGCATGGAAAGCTTGCCATTTTTTTCTGTACGTCAGAAATTATGCACGTTCATGTCTCGTCTTTGAATAACAACAATTCAAAATAGCGGCAAAAGACAGTCGTAGCAACATATGTTTGCGGAAAAAAAAAAAAAAAAACACCAAGAAGTGATGTTTTAATCTTCAATGTTACATCCGATGTCCGAAACGTTTGCCAAGTTTCAAATTATATTGGCGCTAAGCTGCTTTCCACGCGCGTTCATAGTTCTACCTCGGTGTGCTATCTCTCTCGATGTAATTCATCCTATATCCTTAACATGTTATTAAAAATCTATCTGTGTATGTACAAACAATGTGTGTATATACGCGCGCGCTTTGCGTGTGTCATGCCGAAGATTGCATCGGTACCGAAAAAGTTTGTGTCGGTGGAGAATAGTATGCAGACGCGTATGTCTCCAAGATGCTTCGGCACTGCGAAGTGCTCGTGATTCAGGCCGCGGGCAAGATCGGGCGGATGATGCGGAGGACAAGGAGCCAGCAAGGACATCGGCACGTGACTCATGATTGCGTGTACAAGTTCGCTTGCCATTCGCGGCGTCGACAGTGGTAAATTCAGAAAAATCATATATATTATAACTATATATTTTCAACTAAATTTATAACGATTTACAAAAAAAGTAAATTTGAGATAGATATTTATAAAATAAAATGGAAAGTATATATATATATATATATATATATATATATATATATATATATATATATATAGAGAGAGAGAGAGAGAGAGAGAGAGAGAGAGAGAGAGAAATTATTCCATGAAAAAGAAAACAATTGCTAGTAAAGGAAGATATACTCTTATGTTATAAAAGAAAAGAATTGAAATGATTGTATAATATACCGAGTTGGCTGAAATCCGTCGTTTATCAACCATCAACTTTAAATAGATTTGATATTGTCGCATAAATAGATCAAGCGCGGCATCTAAAGAGCAAAGCCAGCAATTATGCCTGCCAACGTAAAGTCGCGTTACAAAATCCGTTACAAATTCTCGATTTTGCGATATTAGCATATTAGTATAAAAAGACAAATGTTTACAAGAATACAAATACAAAAATTTACAAAAATAATTTGTAAACTACTGATACTTTCTTTATAATTTATTTTTATTGACAAGCTTTTAATCGCTGGTCTCACCTTTATATAATATTGAAAATTGAAAAGGTACACATGATTCTATGTATGTAAATCGTTGAACTAATAAAAAATGTTCTTACTAAGATTATTGCTAAACAAAAACTGAAGAATGACGTTGACGTTGATTATTGGATATCTCGCGTGGATAAGCGTTGAATATTGAGTCAGTGCCGTAAGTAGATTATTACCATCAAGAGTCAGACTTGACCTGAAAATATGATATCGTCATATATATATATATATATATATATATATATATATATATATATATATATATGACCGATATATCGTATATATACATATAATATTTACTACAAAAAAAATCCACGTAGTAACTAAATATACAAATTTGAATCTTTAAAGTAAAAAATGAAGCTGAAACTTTCAATTACAATTCCGACGTTGAATTAAGGATGTTAATAACGAATCGACTGCATTTTTAAATCTCATGAGCATTAGGACGGCAGATATGTTATTTTCGTCCCACTTTGAAATGTAACTTTTTGTCGTCAAAATGTAACGTTTTGTAGTTCAACCGTTTAAAGTAAAATGTGGATATCTCTAAATTCTTTTTGCAAGTTGTTTTAAAACTTATGTCGCGAGTCTAATGTTAATAGATAAATAGCACGCTATCCAAGATAGAAAATTTTGCCCATCTGTTTTGTTTGCCCACGGTAAGAAATGTTTCATAGTACTTTACGCATCGGCATCGTTCGACGCACGCGGTTTTCATCTACGGACGCATGTGGATAAGCTACGAGGATAAGGCGAACGATGGGTTCACACGCTCGACTCCTCGTCAAGGCGATTCTGTGTGCCGCAAAGTCGGCATCACCGTCGCCATTGGCGTCCCGTAACACCGTTGGCTCGAGACACGATATCGCCGTCTAGGTTTCCAGGCCCGGCACCAGACTGTGGAAGGTCTGTATGTCATGGAAGGCGCGGCCGCAACTCTGGTTGTTGTTGCGCTCGAACTTGGTGAGATCAAAATGCTCGTCCAAGGATTGCAGCTCGGCCAGTCGTTCCTCCAGCGTCTTTGCCGAGTCGGCGAATCTGGAAAAGTCGCAAAGCCGATCGGGATCGACGTCGGTCACTTCCATCATATCGGTTCCCGATCTCGAGAGTTGCACGCTCGCGTCGTCGAGGTCTCCGACGACGGGGAAGAGCATGGAATGGCAGCTCGTGCTATCGACGCCGTTGCCGTTAGTCATTGCGGAGGTGCTCGTGCTGATGATCGTGCCGTTCGACCGCACGTCAGCCACGCCACTGCTCAGGCGGTCCTCCGGGAAGTCCAGATGGTGATTGCCGTTGTGATGCGATGCTGATTCTGGCTGAATCTCATCGATGTGCGAGAGCAAACGTGGCGTCGGCGGCAAGATGTAGAAGTCACTGAATACGTCGTCCTGCAAGTCCAAGTCATCGTGTCTATGCCGCTTGGAATTGAGTCCGTCGTTTCTCGAATCGTCGGCCAACCTACGTTTCATCACAAATAATGTCGACATGAGAATTACTTTGCAATGGAATCTAAAATATGGCACAAATATGCCAAGAGTTTTCTTAAGCAAAGATAAGAAGGAGAGGGAGAGAGAGAAAGAGGAAGAGGGAGAGGGGAGGGAGGGAGAGAGAGTCTGAGGCTAAAATTCTATCAGAGTAAAATTTATTCGAGATTATTCTATGCGTATATAGTTATTCGGTGCGTAGTACCTTTTCTTAGAGGAGGTTTCCTCATCCGTTACGTCGGCAATGAGGCTCCCGGCGATGTTATTCTCCTTGCTGGCGTCGTCCATGTACGATGCCACCACTGGGAGGGTACCGTAACTCCGTGTTTTCTCGTCTCGATTTTCACGCTGCAACCGTCGTACCGCGTTATTTATGAGAACCGATCGGCACAGGCTCGCTTCGGGGTCCTCGATTCTCCTCAGCTTGCCGGCAGAAATCTTGAGCAGACGGCGGCGTTCCTCGCGGGCGCGATATTTGGCGGAGATCATTGTGGGTCGGCTCCTGCGGATCACCAGATCCTCTTCCAATCTCATTTTAGAATCTGCGCCAATCAAGAGAAACACAAATGTTATTACAGTTATAATTTTTATCGTTACTATCGTTAGTAATCGTCAAAGGCCACGTCCATTAAGGAGCAACATGGGCTTCTCGAGTGCTTTGTACATTTTCAAATATCTTTATAAAGGCGATATTTTTTTCGCAACGTCGCGTCGGCGCCGATACAAATGAAATACAAAGCGCTGCGCGACACAGCGAAACGCTACTTTACAACAAGAGTCCCGTTCTTTCTCGTGCATACACTCGTGAGACGCTTAGTAGATTATTAGACTTCCGTCTAATATATTTGTAAATTAACGTATTTATTTATACAAATTATCATTAATCGACTAAAAAACTGCTGACTATTTGTTCAGTGATTCAACTTGTCACCAATTGTAAAGAAGGGAGTCACTTGTACGGTCTGCACTCGTCAATATCTCAAAATATAATACACAGCAAAAATATTTCGTGAGTCACAGTGATCTACAGTAGTCGAAAGGGTATTTGACGATTGCCAGTTTATTTTTTATTAGTAAACAATTTCAGCCTATGATAAGATTCATATCTTTTTTTTTAGTGTATCGCGCGAACTCACCAAGTATCTCCACAGAAGAGTATTCTATCGAGTAAGTAAATTATCCTTTACCTTTACCGGGTAAACAATTTTTAATGGTCGACAATTACTACGTTTACGCGAGCGTTACTTACTTCTGTAGTAACTTACGATAATTCACTCGTTCACGCGGAGTAAATTATCGTAAGTTACTACAGAAGTAAGTAACGCTCGCGTAAACGTAGTAAGAGTATTTGATTTATTACTATTTATATATAAACGCGACAAAAACTTTTCACACGTGGCGTTGTTATGTTTATTATAAAAGAGAAAGGGGGAGGGGAGGGGAAGGGGGGGAGGGGGAGAGAGAGAGAGAGAGAGAGAGAGAGAGAGAGAGAGAGACTACAGCGACTCCCTATTCTCCCTAACGGTACATGGCATGGAGAGGAGACGGTAAAACACGCAAGCGGGAGAGGCGGGAGGCTCTAGAAGGCAGGTCTGGCAGGTTGCAGGTTAGCGGTACGTAAAAAATTAATTTAAAAAAAAGGAAATTTTTTGTTCAACTTTGACATCGATTTTTGGGCATATTTGAACGGAACTCTTTTTAAAACCTATAGGGAACTCTAGAACTCATCGAAATCTATCCGGAACTACCATAAAAAATTCATTTTTTCAAAAATGGGAGGCGCCGTGAAGCCCCCCCCCTATTTTTAAAATGGTGTTTTTACCACTTTAAATGACGGAACTCTTTCTAAAAACTATAGAGAACTCTAGAACTCTTGCTGGGGAATCCAGAACTCTAATAAATTTTTCCGAATTTTGAAAAAGGGGGGCCAACTTCACAGACATGACTTGGTATGCGGTGTTCCGAGCATATTTTTCTTGATTTTACTTACGAGAAAATTCAATTCGAATAATTTAAAGACATGCGCCTCGTAAGATACAATTTTCATACAGCGCGATTTAAGTGCGCAAGATTACTACCTTCTCGTTTTTCTTGACACTAACTTTCTTCGGACTGACGAAATGAGCTTGATAATTACGTCTCACAGTATATCCGCATGTTTTGTCAAATATCACATATCGCGCAATGCAAAGGCTATACATAGTATATGGCGACTCCAAGGTAGCACTCCGAGATAGATATAGATATAAAAACATAACAGTTCATTACTTACTATGCCTTATTAACGCATCAGTTGATGCGTAGTAATTTACCATCGTAGATAGATTTTGTGTCGCTATCGTCGCTATTATGTCAATATGTGTAATAATATTTATTACACAATATCAATGTTAAATTTAGATACACACACGTCGTTATATCGTAAATGTCAATAAAATAAAAATTTTTACTTTTAGTAATTACTCCAAATATCTTTTATATTTGAGTTAAAAACATTATTTTTTAATTTAAAAATTTAGGCGTTGAAAGAAAAAGATATCGCGATCTAAACTCACTTTCTCGATTACTAACTCGCTAACTAACTCGAAGAGATGATTCAAAGTGTGCAAATGCTTCGCGTACCGCCAATCGGCAGGGCAGGTTAATCGCCTTCAGGAAGACGACGGTGATTAACGGCTATCGCGCGTTAAATATGCGCACGTGCGCGCCACAACGAGCCTAATTGTGAGATGTGGGTATGTATGCGTGTGCGTAAACGCGAGTATTGTGCGCACCTTCGTAGTCGAGATTAGTGTAAAAGTTTTTTCCGACTTTCCATTGAATATGAAGATGTCTTTTCTGCTGTTAGATGCTGACTATTCCAGCGCCGTTTTACGATGGATATATATGGCTCTGCGAATGTCGCGCATAGTCAACGGAGTAATGTCGGATTCTATTTAACAGCTGCGCGTTATCGTAGAAAGTATTATAAAATCATGTTAGCGTATATTAACAAAACATTATACACATAGGACAACGAAACATAGGAGCAGCGTAATTCTTATCGCGACATTTAAGAAACATTTAAGAAAATCTTAATTTTATAAGGCTATTAAAAAAATAGGCTAAGATCCAAAAGCCTTTTCGCGTTAGTTGATTGAAATAATATAGCAATATATTGTGTTTAATTTTTAAGACTTAAAAAACGCGCACGAGCGACTTTAACAAATCGAGTTATCACTTTAAAACGTTCACAGCCAAGACTGCCATTATCGTAATCTTATCAGCAACAGCATTCGCCACCGTGCGCGCATTGCAGGATATATGTGCATATTTCTCGGTCGTACGTCCGAGATATCGCATACGTCATATGCGAGCACGAATCCTTCGTACGTGTAGCAGTTTCGTGTCACGCGACTGACGCATGAAGAGCCTATATCCGTGAGATAAAGGCCACGATTTTGCATAAGGACACACAAGTACACGAGGTAAATGGAAATAAATGCCTTGACAAGGGAGACACCCGGTATACGAGGGACATACCATATTGTGCCGCGTAACTTACGCCGGACATTTCGTTCATTGTTCGAAACAGTTTGCGGATTTCGATTGCGAATAGTTGAGCTATATAAATTACAGATAGTTTATCGACGAAAGATGAATGGATCATATAATAGTTGGCCAATAATGTTTGCGCTGCGCGCGAGATTTCACGCACATTGCAGACCTCTAATATCTCTAAGTCTAGATAAATCTATACGATACGATGGCAGATTCTCTGTGAATGTTTCGGAATTTCCAATAACGTAAGTGTGTGTGTCGTATCGAACTCTACGGCTTAGTCGCACCTCGCACCTCGTACCTCGCACCAGTCAAGACAGTCAAGACAGTCAAGTCGAGCACCGACTGTTTTAGAGTGTCGGAAGAAGTCACGTCTGTGTCAGTAAATTCGCGCTGCTCGGCAAATATTGTTACATGAGCCCCACTTGTTATAATATCCGCTACGTGTGCGAGTCGAAGCCTTCATACCACTATCATATTTCGCTCAAACTTACAAATGATCGGAATCTTTACGGAAAATGCTAGGCATAATTTTGTTAATTTTAATCTTTTCGCGTCTTACTTATGTAATTCAATTTTACCGATGCGTTATGCGCAAAAAACGCATTTCTCATTGTCAGATGTACATTTGCAACAAATGAGAGTTCTAATACGGAGATGCTGTATGTACATACGATAAAACAAATTACGGAACACCCTTTTATCGATCGCGATGGAGTCTCCGGCGCGGGGCGCGGAGCGCGGTGCGCGGGTACTCTTGTGCCGAGCGGCGAGCGGCGAGCTACCGATTAGCGGAGAGTGCGCAGACTAGACGCCACTGATCTTCCTTCGTATTGTCTCGTTCGTTGTACTGTTCTTAACGGACGAATGTGGTTTTTAATCAGTTGCTACGCAACTGATACCGGCCGGACGGCCGACCGGCTTTAGAGATATAACTTTGCGTGCAAGTGCATGTAACTTTGTTCTCTCGTCTTTCGCGGCGCGGCGCGGCGCGGCGTGTAAGTTTCCCCGCAGTATGATAATTTAAAAAGTTATGTGAAATACAAAAGCTCATAAACGTGCTCGCGTGCTTCAATTTTTAGCGAAATCGATCTGATCGCGAAAAATCGAAAATATTTCGCGTTCAAATAGTTTTGACGTCACCGTACTATGATTTATACAGTGGTGTGATACACCCTGTATATTTCGATGAACGATAATTTGATAATGCTGTATATCTTAATATTCTTTAATAACAGAGGATTACAACGTACATATAACTATAACTTCAATTATAGCTCTCAAACAAAAATTTGTTTTTTATTATCGAATAGACAATTCCATATATTGCATATATAACGTTGTGATTGTGAAGATATGTTGTTATTACGAGATTATTTAAATTAATTATTAAAGCGTTATGAAAATTCGACTTTAATAGTATTGACGACGTACATACACGAAAACGACATACATGCAAAAGATGTTGATGGAGAACGAGCAAACAGCTTTCAAGTTCAGTGTTAATCGCGAACGTGATGATGTCATCGCAAGAACGATCACTGTTATTAATACTTTATGTATACGTAGTTCCATTCTATGCATTTAATTCGTGCTTTTTTGATTTTTAATACGAATGAAAGGCTCAAGTTTGATAAGTCAAACCGTTCGTTCGATGGATTCGTGCCAGATAATCCAATGCTGACGATTCAGCTTGAGAGTGTGAGAGTGAGAGTGAGAGAGAGAGAATGGGAGAGAGATTACTCGCTCCGTCCGCTCCGTTGTTCGCTCATTAAAATTCGCTATCCGCGATCGAGTGTACGTATATCGATCACAAGTCAACGGGCTCATAAAAATTCATTCGATTCCGGAATAAAAATACGTCTCGCGAGTTTCGTTATAAAGTTTAAATAGGACGCGCTTCTCCATTTCGATGCTAGTACAAAGTATTAAGCTATGAATCTACTATCACGCATATGGTGATGTTTTGCAACAGTCTTCACATTCCTGGAAATATATTTGC